ATCTATTTCAGTCCTTTCTTTCAGTTATTTGTTTTTCAACTATATTGCATACTCGTACATCCAATTTACATGTTATTAAGATCTTCAACAAGAGACTGTTGAGATTACTCCATCCACTCGTCTTCTTATGGGTGACACCTTCTTATTTTTGGAGTACTCAAGTTTTATGAGTTGTCAGTTGTAGTTCTTTTGTGTAGTCATGGGTCTTGTCCCACATCTTTGGATAGTAGAGATTCATAGATATAGAGTTTTAGAGAGTCTTTTGGTTTCAGATATATTATTTAAAATTTATGTTTCATACTATGTACATACAACAAAGTTTGAGATTTAATAAACTAATTTTAAACGCTTCTTTCAATTTGATGCATATGTATTCTAAAGTTAGTCTTCAGCTTGTAGTTATCCAGGATGAGGGTTCGATTAGAGACCAATAATGGTTCTCGCGTTTGGGCCACGTCCACGATGTAATCCTAGGTCGTGACACTTTTGCCTAAATCAATGTTGGATTTCTGAGGAATGGGGTACAAATTCATTATCATATATGATTGTGTCCTTGGAAAAGGACGCAATAATTCTGCAAGGACAGAGCTTATGGACTGATTGAAAAGGGCGTGGAGAAGTTGAAAAGGTTCGACAATGATAAAGGCCAACATTTGAGGTTAAAATCTGGATTTGATTATGCCAATATGATACCCTTAAAGAACTCCAACTGTCTCAATTGTTGGCATAAGCAAACGAGTTGAATTTGGCACATTAGTCAAGATTTCATTCCCAATAGATATTTTTATAATGAGAGTTATATTTATAGAAAGATCTAATAGTGCAATCTCTAAAAAAATATATATTATCTACTACTTAACTTCTCACAAAAAAGAAGCTAGAATAGAATACGATGAAATACAAACTAAAGCTTATAATCGTGCATCAATTTTCTCTATCATTTTTAAGTTTTATTTAGTACATATGTATTTAGTGTCTTGTACATATTACAATCAATTTTTTGGGTTTTTAAAAGAATAAGTTTTCTTCTTTATCTTGTTGTCATTTTTGTTGTTGTTCTATTTTTCTTTCATTTTTGTTGGATTTAGGGTGACTTGTATTGGTTTGTAAAGACGAGTGTCATCACCTAGATTTTTTTTATTGTGACATGCCTCCATGATAGTTTTGTGTATTAAACTACATCTATTATTTTTCTATATATAGTAATGAAATTTGTGTTAACACACGAGACCTAGTAAATTTATTTTCATTTAAGTCCAATCTCCAAGATTATTTTAATATAAGAATCTAGTCTTGACTTCACTTATGGTAAATTTGGAGCATGTTAATTATTATTTATACACATTTTTATTAGTCCATTGTATTCTCTACCACAAATAGCAATCACAACATTCAACTCATCTGCTCATGAATTGCACAAAATATTTAATTAAATTTAAACATTTTCATAATAATCATCTTCTATAATAATTATATTTTAACAATCATGTTTAATTATCCTCTACTACATGTCAGATACACCATAACTCAAATTTGTTGATTTTTTTGTCAATATTAAAACTATATTCCTAAATTTGCATAATCTAGATAATTATCGTCTTTGCACCTTCGAGTTTTAGAGGTTCATTCATATAAATGACCTTATTTTGGGATGACATTTTATTTTTCTTCCAATTGATGGTTGTGAATCCCAATGAGTCATCTAGCGAATCGTTGCAATTGATGCTCGATTTTGAAGAGATAATATGTCTTTCTTTACATCAAGTTATATTTTCATATCATAATCTAACATATGTTGTCTTATAATGCATTACAAGTTATGCCACTTGTTTTTATAAAACTTGTGTGTTAGACACATTCGTTCAATTCACAACCCATCTGGTAAAAGTTGTCTAAACTTATGGCAAGTGAATTAAATACTACACATTTATGTCGAACAATTAATTCCTACAAAATATATGATGGAAAAGGAAAAACTGCTCGAACTTAAAATTTTGCATAATTTGGTCATAGATAAAGATACTTTGATCTGTAAGTTTTCATTAAATGAGTGAAGAATAAAAAATTAAAAATTGAAAACTAGTCAAAAATAGTAAGTTCGTGTGCAAGAACTAGCATCCCAAAATTCTTGAGGAAAAAGAATCTTAATCTCTCTCTCTCATTATATATATACAAAATAATATGAATGTTGTTTTGTATTGTAATGGAAAGTAAAAATAATGTTCAAATTCATTGTTAGGTAGAGTGTGGTATATTGATATACGAATTCAAAATAAAAGCAATTATTTAATGATAATAACAAAAATCTAATATAAAGTTAGATTTCATAAGTTCGACCTTATTATCATTATTTTTTTTGTTCAATCATATTTATATCCGTACAATAACAACAATCATGTCATAATTAAAATAGTCAGAATCTGATATAAGAGAAATATTTTGAATCCATATGAATAATTAAATAAAAACTCATTATTTATAGATCTTAGTTATCCCAATCAAATAAAACAAATTTCCTGGTCGAACTGATTGAGCATATCTTCTGTTGAAGACAACTTGTAGACATCTTTACTTAAGTTGCTTATATCTTCAAGGATTTCAAGTTTTGCGGTTGTAATTGCAAGTTCTCTCAACCTCTTAGATTGTTCTTGATTTCAACTATTGACATAAGACACTTTTTCCTTCAATCGTTGATGATTCTTTTGAAATCCATCGCTATCACAAATATTCAATGATGCTTGTTTAGCAGCCACTGCATCTTCAAATCTACTAGTGTCACTTGCTCTTTATTCGATGATAAAACATCAACATAACTGATTTATTGTGAATTAATTTAAAGATGATTGGTCTTAGAAGCGGGATTAGATATTTTGTCGAATAACACCTCACCTGTCTTCTTATCCCTAACAGCTTCTAAAGGGGCCTCCATGACAAGTTTGTGTTACTAACCTAGATCTACTTTGTGTGCCTTTATATACTACAAAAATTTGTATTAAAACAATAAAACTATGAAACTTATTTTTATTCAAGTCAAAGCTCCAAGATTATTGTAATATAAGAATCTAGTTTTGATTTCACTTATGGTAAATTAGGAGCATGTTAATAATTATTTGTTCATTTGATCATCTTATTATCCAATATTATTGTATTTTCAAAATAATTTAATATAAAGTTTAAGTACTTCAATTGGATAAAAGAAAATTAATTTTTACATTATTTATATATATACTAGATTGGCATAAGTCGTGTTCAGCACGACCGCAACATGCATGGTTTCACTATTGCTTTTTCACTTTAAGCATTACAACTTAAATAATTCAATTAAAATTTTTCAAATGTATTTATACTAGCAAGAATGAAACATTTGCATTTTTGGGACAAAGAGAAGCTCTCATGTACTTGTGAAAAAGAGAAGCTTCGATCTTACATCAAATATAGAAAAAATCATACATTCGTTAATGCTAAAGTTTAAATAGACAACTAATAGGCTACGTACAACACGTGCATAATTGGGTAGTACTATTTATTATAAGAAAACCGACGTAAGACCACCCCAAGTCTGAATTAAGTTTTAAAAGAAAGTTAATTTAGGAGCGACGGCACTGTGTTATGAGAAGTTAAGGGGAATGAGGATGTCGGGTGGTTGCGTGGGTGGGGTATTGTGTTAAAATGAAATTGGGGATGGATGATGTTTTTCTTTTCCTTTTTTTTGGGACTAAAATCATAGTCCTTTTTTTTCTTGAATCGTTATTTTATAGGTTTATGCCACATGTCTTTTCTTATTGGGTATATGTCGCATCATCCTATGACACACTCTCTTTATGTTTTGTTGATTGTCATAAAATGTTCAATAAGAATAGTTTTTACTAACAAAGGTGTTCATTGGAATAAGCCTTAGATAAGGTGTCTAAATAAATCATGCGGATAACTTTAAGAGGCTATCGATGACTTAAGCCTTTAAAAACATAACTCTTTATGTGGTTTGAGATTATTACTCAAAATATTTCTCTTAAACGAGATGATACTCAGACTTTCTCATGATAACTCATTTTCAAACCAGTGTTTCCTCTCATCTTAAAAGTGAAAACATTTACTCTTTGGAAATACTTAGTTTCCATTTATATTTTAAGTCAACCTCTGATCTATTATAAGCCAACTCATAAATGGGGATCCAACTACATTCATTCTCACCCCGACTAATTGTCCATCTAAAAAACACATTATATTTATTAATATAAAAGTTTCTGTCTAATAAAAATTCCTTGTTCAATTGCTCTTTTTATTCTTTTTCTTAATTTCTTGTTCTTAATTAGGATATTCGGGACTCAAAATTGAAATGATCTCACATGTTTATATTCTTTTAATTTGTATTATTTTCATGGTGGAATGAGAGTGGGATAGGAGAAAAGATTACTTTTATTCTTTATTTGAATTTTGGGTACAAAAAAAAGAAAAAAATTGTATTAGTACTATTTTACGAAAATATATAAGTGAAGTAAAAAATGACTAAGTTTCGAAATATAGATTAATCTTATAATTTAAAAGAAATCGACTTTCCAAATTAACAGAGTCGCCACTTGATTAATTGTAAAAAACAAGAAAAAATTCAAATTGTTTTTTCAAAAGATTTAAACATATAAAAATCAATTGAAAAAATGGGTTCGAAATTCAATGTACATTCCGAGAAGGTGTTAAGCCCTCGGAATACCCGCTAACTCTCGATTAACCGACAATTTGATTAGAAGACCTTTTGAAAAATTTTGGGTTTTAATTAATTAAAGGAATCTTTTATTATTATTATTTACTTATAATTATCTAATTTGATTTTATCTATTTTTTTCTTTCTATAATCATTTTGCTAAGGTGAAATAACTAGAGGAAATCATTCTTCAGGTAATATATTCAAGTATTAAATAATATAAGACCAATTAAAAGATTATATATATATATATATATATATATATATATATATATACACATTAAATTTTGGACATATAAAGTAAATAAAAATAGCTATCACTGGGAATTAATTAAATTAAAACCGAAATTCAATAACGTAAGTCAATCAATATAGCAAAAATATATAGAGAGAAAGTAGTTAAACTTGGACTTTGGCCCATGTTTTCCTTCATTTTTTTTGCTTTTATCTTTTGGGGCTTGGCCCATTTCTCACAAAATTCCGCAGGGAACTCAAATGGGCTTCGGCCCCATTTCTTTTTAAAAATATGGTGTAGACTTAATGTATACCGCTGTATATGACGCGTATCCAGTATATTTTGAACCTTCTGAAACCGGTATTATATCTAATTTTGTATGCTGTATTTTCTGGTCTGCATTTCCACATTTGCACCTGTTTTTGGTATATTCCAGCTGTATGCCAGTGTATATAGCTGGTATATCAACGTGTTTTAGGCTTTTTGTGGGGCTGGAAAATTGATTCACAGCAATATATTGTTGTCTTCAACCTATCCAGCTATATCCTAAAGTTGCCAAGATGGCTGAATCGACGGGAAAATTTGAACTTTCACAGCTCAATTAAAGGATGCAAGAGGAAACGAGGATTCCCGAGGGACTCGTCAATGCCATAAAAGAAAGGCAAAACATTAGCTAGAGAAAAATGACATGGAACAAAATAAACGAATTAACGAGAGAAAATATATAATGATAAGCTAAGAATTATTCAAACACTTGCAAAACCAAAGCAAAGAGGTTCCTGAATAAGGCACATATGTATGTATGGATAACACAGAAGTTATGGCAAAGTTGACTCCAAACATACAATAACTTCTAAAAATCAAAAGCATGATGGACATTTTCCTTAAGAGCAAAAATAAGAATTCCGAATGAAGATATTTAATTAAGATAACAGTGAGCAATCAACTAGATATTCTTATTGAACATTTATCTCAAATGCAGCTATTTGAAATCCTTTTCTAGATAGCAAAAAAAAAGGGTAAAAATTTTCATTTATGAACCCCTTTATACTCAGACCAAAACTATCACAAGACCAAGCATATATTAATGACATGATTAACGGAGAGCAGACAGAGGAAAAAGCCTGCTTCTCGTAACAGCGGACACAAAAACCGGTACATAAACGTGATAGGAGACCCGAAAATAAAACCATAATTAAACCAAACAAGTACTATCAACTCGAGGATGAAAGACGGGACAAACAGAGACACTACCTAAAGCAATTTCATGCTAAACTAATACCTTGTTGAATAGATAGGTATTAGATCATTTCAAATCAAGAAAGCTTGAGACAAACTTAAGCAAACAGAACAATGATCTGTCGTACAAAGACACATTAGTTAACAACAAACTCTTCCAATTCATGGCAAAACATTAAACTATCTAGGATGAAAGGATGAGTTACGAGAATATATAATAACCAAACATTGAACGAGTATAATGATATCATACTACAAAATGACCTGAAGACGAACGAGTCATATGAATGTGAACTAAACTAATATATGCTCAAGATTATGCGACGAAATAACTTCCCTGGCGCTTGAGGACATTATGGAGCGCATAACAGCCATGAACTTGATGAAACCTCAAAAATGTAGGCTCAAACGAACACCAAGTCATCCTCGAAAACAGAAACAAGTAAGAAAAATATAAAAAACGATAGTAATATATTATCAGACCAACCTTTACCCCCTAATTCGCAGGCAGCAACGAGTCAAAAGAAAATTTCATTCTATCATGTAAGCTACTTCACGCTATCATGAACAACACAGTGAAAACAAGGGATGCTTGAAGAGAGACGGACGTTACCTTTAGAGGGGCAGTGGAACTGGGACGTTAGCAATTTACGGAGTACTTCACCACAGACTCCGAACTTTGGGAGTTTTTTATTCTCTAAAAATTCCTCCCCCGGCCATTAACAGAGAAGAAAATCGGTTTATATAGGTGAAATTAGGTAGAATTTTTTGGGGTGGGAAGATGAGGAAAATTCCAAAAAATAGTGGGTCCATTCAAAATTTGAACCATTAAAACTTTCACAATTAAGGGGAGACACCCTTTTTCTGAGCCTTCAAACTATTCTGAAAGGGGAAAGGACGAATGGACGCCCTCGATCAATCTTCCGTCCTAGAGACTCTACGTGGATCAATCTTGAGCTGCCAAGGACGGAGACGCAGGTATGCTACAGCAGTAGCTTTGTCGCGTTGGATCAGACTGGATGAGAGAGAGAAGACGACGAAGAACAGCTGTCCTTGGCTGCCATTCCGTGTAGACGGAAAAGGGAATCGCTTGGAGCCCTTGCTGATGCTTTCGTGCACTGTCCTTCGCGTGAGGTTGATTGGAGCGCGTATAGGAGTTCATTGGCTATTCACGCATCGTTGCCATTTGATTTCACTTTTACGCTGTGTAAGCATCGTTGGATTGTGATGCTGGGCCTCTTCGTAAAGGGAAAGGAAGGATTTGGGCCGGGTTTAAGGGGAATTAGGTGGTGGGCCTAGGGGAATTGGGATTAATAATGGAAAAATAATTTAAATACATAACTATAAGTTTTATATTCTCTAATTTTCTCCTCTTTTTTTAAATATTACATAATTTCCTTTTTTTTTTTAATTTTAGTATAAGTTTATAGATACATAATATTCTCTGTCCTATAATACACAATTACCCATTTTAATGCCTATTTTTTTTTTCATTAAAACACTCAACCTTTTAAATCAGTTTTTGGATTTTGAATTTTCTCCATTAAAACACTCAACCTTTTAAATCAGTTTTTGGATTTTGAATTATTAATTTTAATTAATTTTAATTAAAACAACCAATTTTAAAATTTTGAATTTCAAAATTCAAAATATTTGAAATTTCAAAAATTTAGACAATTTCTCTCCTGTTCAGTTCTTACTCCATCACATTTTCAGTTCTTCTTTCTCCATAATCGTCTTTCTTCTTCTTAACCCAACATATTTTATTGGTTTCTTCTTTTTCTTCTTAATCCATCATCGTCTTTTTCTTCTTAATCCATCATCGTTTTAACCCAGCATCTTTTTCTTCTTAATCCATCATCATGTCTTCTTTTCTTCCCTTTTTTGTTTTTGTTAATTGTTCTATTACATCATAGTAATGGATCCGTTAATTAATAGAAGGATATATGATTTTGACGATGAAAATTTGAAAGAAAATAGAAAAAAGTCTTTGCATGATCCTATGAATCCTCAGAAGGATTCAAACAAAGACTCAGGCGAAACATCAAAATCAAAGGTTGTCAAAATACAACAAAAAAAAGAAAAAAAGCAGCAAACATTGTTGTTAGGCCTACATTGTCTCGGGTTAGTATTTTGGTACTTAAAACTGTTGTTGAAATTAGTAAAAATTTTAAGGAATCCAATATGTATCAAAAAATCATGAAAATTATTATCATGTATCATGAAGTTCTGAAAATTTGTTACAATGTATCATTCAATAAGTTTAATAACTGAGTCATCAACTGTGCTTGATGATACATATAGAATCAGTGTGTATAGTGTTTAGTGGATGTACTGATACATGTATTAGATATGTACCACATATTATAATGTTTAGTCAATGCACTGATCCATGTAGTATATATGTATCACATGTTTTTTATGTAGTATGAATTTTCTGAAAACTGATATCATGTATCAGTAATGTATTAGTTGTTTAGTTGATGTACTGATACATGTTTTGAAAATTGTTATAATGTATCATTCACTAAGTTTAATAACTGCGTCATCAACTGTGCTTGATGATACATATAGAATCTCCAACAACGATTCCGTCGATTTTGTAACTTTCATACTGCAATTCATTCACCCAAATTCTGGAATATCTCATCAAAATTGAAGTATTCATCTTGAAAAATCCACAGTAACAACAATAAAATTACTATAGTTCGAAATTTAACAGATTGTTCATAAAAAATGTATTCAAACTAGATGATATAATCTTTAATTTTCAAAATTTGAAATTAATATCCAATTACATGTTGAATTTATGCTGATTAATGATCTGTTACCGTAAAATAAGCTGTTTTAGTAACAACATTAAATTTACCATTTTTTCCCCATTTTTTTCTCAACAGTTTAAACTTAACATATATCATTTACCATGTATCACTAGAGTCTAAAGTATCACGGCACAACAAATTTAAGGGATGTAAATACTAAATAATAATGTAAAAATTTAAGGAATCCATAGTGTAATTCAATAATTACACTCTGTCCCGACAAATTTAGTAATTACAAAAAATCCCTTAAATTTGTTGTGTCGTGATACTTTAGACTCTAGTGATACATGGTAAATGATACATGGTAAGATTAAACTGTTGAGAAAAAAATGGGCAAAAAACGCTACATTTAATGTTGTTACTAAAACAGCTTAATTTACGGTAACAAATCATTAATCATCATAAATTAAAGCACGTAATTGGATATTAATTTCAAATTTTGAAAATCAAAGATTATATCATCTATTTTGAATACATTTTTTATGAACAATCTGTTAAATTTCGAACTACAATAATTTTATTGTTGTTACTGTGGATTTTTCAAGATGAATACTTCAATTTTGATGAGACATTCTGGAATTTGGGTGAACGAATTGCATTGGAAAAGTTACAAAATCGACGGAATCGTTGTTGGAGATTCAATTTCGTTTTCTTATCTCAAAGCAGCAATTGTAGCCGAGTTGGATATTGATGTATCAAGGAAAGAAATTGAAATTCGAGACATTATAGAAGGTATTAGTTGTTTAGTTGATGTACTGATACATTGTGGTACATATCTAATACATGTATCATCAAACATGTATCAGTACATCAACTAAACAACTAATACCTTACTGATACATGATATCAGTTTTCAGAAAATTCATACTACATGAAAAAACATGTGATATATATCTACTACATGCATCAGTGCATTGACTAAACATTATAACATGTGGTACATATCTAATACATGTATCAGTACATCGACTAAATACTATACACACTGATTCTATATGTATCATCAAGCACAGTTGATAATGCAGTTATTAAACTTAGTGAATGATACATTATAACAATTTTCAAAACTTCATGATACATGATAATAATTTTCATGATTTTTTGATACATATTGGATTCCTTAAAATTTTTACTAATTTCAACAACAGTTTTAAGTACCAAAATACTAACCCGAGACAATGTAGGCCTAACAACAATGTTTGCTGCTTCTTTTTCTTTTTTTGTTGTATTTTGACAACCTTTGATTTTGATGTTTCGCCTGAGTCTTTGTTTGAATCCTTCTGAAGATTCATAGGATCATGCAAAGACTTTTTTCTATTTTCTTTCCAATTTTCATCGTCGGAATCATATATCCTTTTATTAATTAACGGATCCATTACTATGATGTAATAGAACAATTAACAAAAACAAAAAAGGGAAGAAAAGAAAAACTGATGATGGATTAAGAAGAAAAAGATGCTGGGTTAAAACGATGATGGATTAAGAAGAAAAAGAAGAAACTAATAAAATATGTTGGGTTAAGAAGAAGAAAGACGATTATGGAGAAGGAAGAACTGAAAACGTGATGGAGTAAGAACTGAACGGGAGAAAAATTGTCCAAATTTTTGAAATTTCAAATATTTTGAATTTTGAAATTCAAAATTTCAAAATTGGGTGTTTCAATTAAAATTAATAATTCAAAATCCAAAAACTGATTTAAAAGGTTGAGTGTTTCAATGGAGAAAATTCAAAATCCAAAAATCGATTTAAAAGGTTGAGTGTTTTAATGGAGAAAAAATAGGCATTAAAATGGGTAATTGTGTATTATAGGACAGAGAATGTTATGTATCTATAAACTTATACTAAAATTAAAAAAAAAGAATTATGTAATATTTAAAAAAAGAAGGGAAAATTAGAGAATATAAAACTTATAGTTGTGTATTTAAGTTATTTTTCCATTAATTTAGGTAAATTAGGCAAATGACATACTGTAAATGATAACTTACATTTTATCCCTATAATATCAATATTTACCAAAAATCCCTTATAAGAAAATTCGGATACTTTATAAAACAGAAATGATACTTAAATATAAATGAATATAAATGCCTGAATTTTTTTTATGTAACTGTTATAGCTAAAATCAAGGGTTACTAATTTCCCTTCAATTTATTTATGTTAATCTTGTAACTAATTGACCGTGTTAATTGCTTCA